TTTTGTACTATAATTTATTTATTTATTGATTTTTTATTAATTTATAATTTTTGTATTTTCTTTGTTGTTTTGTTATATTGTTGTTTGCTGTTTTGTTGTTTGTTTTTCCTTAATATTTATTTCATTCAATACTTTTATCCTTATTATTTATCTATGTTTAATTTTGCATTAAAAATGTATTATTTATATTTATTTATTATTATTTAATTTTTTTTTCTTCTGTTATTTTTAGTTTTTTTTTCTTGTTTTTTCTTTTTCTGTGTGTGTGTGTGTTCTCTCTTTGTTTCATATTTTAACTTTCAGAGCTGTTAGACTGTTAGGTACCAATTAAACCCAGTTTAGGCAAGGGGCTTTATGGACTAGCTTCCAGTGCTCCTATAAGAATAAATTAGAAAGAAGTTCAACTCTTCGGGCTGAACGAAAGTTGTCGTAACTCGTAAGTAACGCTCTTCTGGACTAAAACTTTCAGGTTATTATTTCATGCGGCTTGAGAATAAACGAAGGAAATATTCACTGGAACATTTAATTCTAGTCTTTTGTCTGACACTTCTGATTCCGAGACCCATTTTGAAATATTAAGTTGAACTTAACTCGCTAGTCAGTTCAGTAGTCGCTAAGTAGGCTACTAAATAAATTTGTCTGTTACACTGTTAGTGATAGTCACAATTCTCGTATGCCATATGTCGATATGTGACAATGTCCCGTATCAAATTGAAATCTAATAAAAATATAAAGAGCTAGGCAGTAGGCAGCCTTGATATGAGACTAAATGAGAGTGAGACAGCAATGAATTTGCAATTCTGAAAGAGTTCTTACCCCGTACCCGGTGTACCGCCGTACCGGTACCTGTAGCCTGTAGGTGTTTATACACGAGGCAACTGCAGTTTTGCAGGCTGAGACTCTGAGAGCCTATACTACATTAGTTGAGTAGAACATTTGCTATAATTACAATTCAGACCGAATGCTTTTAATATAAACCTTTGTTGAAAAATCATGGTTCCGAGACCTTGCATGATGCGTCAATACCACATCAAACGGCCATCAGTAGAGTATTTTTGGGAATTGGGACAATACAGTGCGCCCGCGCGATGTTGGGTGTTGACATGCTGTCAAGTGAGGTGTGGTGTGTATTTGGTGGATTTCATGGAAGATGGAACATAACATAGTATGATGGTAACCATAACTACAGCCTACAGGTTTGAGCCTTTGAGAAGGCATTTGCGGAAGGGAAGCAGTTGGTGTGGTGGCATCATTGAGGCTCTTGCCAACAAGGTGAAAAACTTTGTAGATTGGCGATTTGGCGTAGAGTGTGGCTGTGTGGGTGAGGGACTGGATTGGTTAAAGAAATAACTTTGAAGCATCATCTTTTTTGTTCTGCAATCTCTCAGCAGTCAGCAGAAAATCCCATAGCATATAAAAGACACTTGAGAATGAGTACCGACCAATTCAATGAGCTTCTCATCATGATTGAGCCACAAATAACCTACAAACCAGGCTGGAATTCTAAAATTAGTGATTCACATAAAAAAAGTGTTCTGCCTTAAAAAAAATGTTCCAGGCAACTAGAAACAGGTATGCAGGCCGTCAGAAATTGGCTTCGGTTACGGTAGCTATGATTGTATGAATGTCAAGTCAGGCAACACTGTCACAGAGAAGGTCCCTTGCAAGATTGTTAATTGCCGCTTATTTGCGCGCGTCACTTGCAGATGAGCAAGAGGGATGGATCTACAGAAGGAATTAAGGAAATACTATTTACTCCCAATATAATAGTTTCAAATTAAATATAAAAAAACATTTCTGGCACCTATTTGTTAGTTGTTACCTCAGCTTTCAAATTGAGGAGAAACTCATCGGCAGTTGGAGAAACTTCTCGAAGAAAAGGCAATGCACCACAAACAACATGACACTTCACAGTTGACTGACTAGGTAGAATAGACTCAATAGTCAATAGAGTACTCTAAAGTAAAAAATTTAGCATTCAAAACTTTAGATTCTGTGAACCTTGTGATTTCTTCATTATTAAAACTTTAGAAGGCTCACAATATATCACGTAAAGTTTTCACTCAATTATCGTCTCCAAGTTTGGGAGCTTTATCTGCAGTTAATTCAGTTACCTCACACACTGATTGCTTAAGGAGAACTAACAAGTAAACAGTAAACACTAACCATCATTCCTGCCACTTTGGCTGTTGCACACAATTGATTCTGCATGTATAACATTTACGATTTACAAAGGTTATTAAACCATTCTGTTGAATGCCAGTTACTGATAAATTTGTAATATAGAAGAATTCGTATCTATCATTTTTTCAAATCAGTATACCTATTGATGGTTGGTGTCCCTGCGGCCTGCTACCTTCTTTGTTTATGTTTTTTGTCAAGTTGGTAATCCTGATCGTAATGGTAGGAGTTTCCATGTCTCAGCTTATTGCATCAGTGGTCAGTTTTGTATTTGTCGATTGAATCATAGGCAGTTTTTTATGCATTTGTGAGCGAAAATGTTATTCTTTGCGATTTCCATCAATAATGACATATAACTACACTATTGTATTACGCTCTTGAAATAAGAATTTTAGCATTACGCATTAAGTTAGCATCAGTGCGTTAACATTGTGTGCATTTGAGGCGGTCCCTTCTAGCTTTCTATTGCTGATTGAATTCCAGTGGCTGTGACGTTGCACACGTTCCCTGTGACAGTACGTTGGACGCGTTCAAGCGTTGATTGGATTCTTGTTACTGTGATGATGCAAGCGCTGTTTTTTTCAATAAAAACCGCTGTGGCATCTTGCAGAGACTCATCAGTGATGATGATGGACTGAAAGTGGAAGTGTGCTGGATGTTCCCGATGCTTCCCGATTTGCTATGTTTACCAGTTAATATATTACCCCTCTGGAATTCCACACTGCGAGTACAAACTATATGTCTCTAGTCTAAAAACAACACAATATCATCTGGACTCCACACTCCACAGTCCACTTTAAGTTCTTAAAAACTTCTTATTAGAGCTGTCGTTTGAACATGATATGCAGCAGGCATGGGCCATCATGCCATGGAATGATCATTGCTGGAATATATCTACTTGGCAAGCTGCGACTGGATTTTTTGAGCCTTGTCTTCATGGCTTTGCCAGCCGTGTTTTCATTTCTTTGAGCCATGGCTTCATGGGTTTGCCAGCTGTAATTCCATTTCTTCAAGCTGTGAATTCCATATCTCAGCCATGAAAAGCCATTGCCCATCAGCCATTTATGACCCATTAACTTGTTATTTACAAAGTCCCTTAGTATTTACAAAATCCCATACAAAAAAAGCCACTCGCATTTGTCTTCACTAAAGCAGCAACTGAACATGTGATAATGCAGTATGATCAATCTGACGTGACCGCCGACCGGCTGACCGCAACTACGCGATCTTCATGGAGGAAACATTTTGAGTTGACTTATCACATTTTGCATGTTATTTTGGCGGGAGGCATGAGCATTGAAGTATATACACTGCAGATTGCGGAAGTTAAAAATTTTATGAAATGACATGTTTGCGAAGTTTGGCAAACCACAATTTTTTCAATGAAACAAAAATTTATTACATTAGAGCTGCAAGATTTCATACCTACTGAAATTATATGATATTAAAGCTGCAATATTTCAGAAAAAAAATAGGACTTTTCCATCCCTGAATTATGCAGCATATACTTGCATCACCAAAGTTCTAAGAATGAGAGTGATGCAGTTGTGCTGCGCATACTACAAAAGCTTAGGCGCTACTGAGCAGTGGGCACACTTGACTCAGTCAACTGCTTCAAAACAACTTGAGCTGCTCTGCATGCAATGCGCTAGCTAGTTGCCTTTGAAGATGTTGATCATTGCAAAATTTACTAATTGCCCTGTGTATAAGCACCTTTTCTGCTAGGGCTAGTCTAATTTAGACAATGACACAAAAATTCACCATATCTTTCTAAGAGAAAGCATTTCGGAGACCAGCTCCATTGCCAGTTCATAACACAAAGTTCAGTCCAAATACAATCAATTAGTAAAGTAAAATCCACTGTTGGGTATTAAAACAGAAAGCAGGTAAATGAGACATGAAATTAAAGTTGGTAAACAGCCTATCAACTATTTCAAGAGGAAAGAAGCTTAATTGGCATTTAGGCTAGGCTTTTGTTTGACTCTTTAGGTTTTAGTAGTAAATTATTAATTTTGTCCTCTATATTCAAAATTATTTAACAATTGTCTTAGAATAGTAATTTCTTTAAATTTAGAAGGGTCGGTGATAAGATTAGTAAGGCTACTGTTATAACGATTATGATCAGCTAATACTACTCCTTTGCCCTTATCTGGCTTGCAAATGATGAGGCCCTTATTTTTGGCCAGGTCTTTTAATAAAAGGAAGTCAAGTGGCTGAAAAACAGATGAGAAAATTTTGTGGGATTTGAAACCGTGAAAATGACGGTAAGCTAAACTTTGCAAATTACCAAGAAATTCCTGACAGTTGGTAATGAAAACAGTTTATATGCAAAGAGCAAGTCTTTCAAAAGCTTTAAAGAACTTGTAGAAATCCAATTTAGGAACAGGCAGACAAAAGTCAAGTCCAAAGGTTCAAGGTTCCAGGCTTTATGAACTATAGTTGAAAGCAACTTAATCAGGGTTACGTGGATGAATTTCATTATCAATACCTACCTAAGTTATCAAGTTTCTTCTGATGGGTCTTGAATGAAGTTTTCTTGAATGCTTCAGTTAGACGTCTGGCGTGTTGACGAATAGCAAATGCATCGAGGATGAAAAATAGTACATGTCCAATTTGTGCTTCACTTACGGTGACCAAGTCAGTTAATTCTCTAAATGCCTTCTTCTTGGAAGATAATTCCAAAGAGAGAAAATTCTACTTCTTCTTTTTTTCTTCTTGGAAGATAATTCAATAAATATATACAAGTAGGTATTTAATTACAGTGAAACTGCAGTTTCACTGTAATTAAATATATATTTTTTTGTCCTTCAGTGCTAAGTGGAGCTGTTACATACTACTTTAAAAAGAATTCTATATTTTTCTATCATTTATTATTTTTCTGTCCAGTCTTAGCCAAAGTACTTAGGTACTATTTATTTCATAACAGCAGCTCAACATCATTTTCATTGTTAAGTATTTCTACTACATTCAAGATGGCTCCTGCTAAACAAAAGCAGAAATGTTCTGTTGGAAGAGCTCTTATAAAGCAAAAGGCTCGTGAAAAGAAAGAATTCTTCTCAAAATATAAAGAGGTAATGTATATTATTTAATTATTTGCTTCTTCTATGTAATTAAGTAATATAGGTAGTTGTTGAATAATTGCCAAAGGAATTTTTTTGTCTAAATTTTTACCAATAATCATCAAGGTTTTTTTTTACCTACCTACTGTTTTTTATTGCAATAGTAATTCTGTTGACAAAGCAATAGTTAAACTTAGAATAGTTTGAGAAATGATGCAAAAGATTCAGCTTTGTCCAAATTTAAGTCTTTTCTAATTTGGCTGAGATGAATTTGATGGGACAAATTATTTTTTTAAACTTCCATGTAACACATTTTTTTGTTCTAGCAATTGTCATGTGATTGTTTATTTTTTTGCTTTAATGGAGTGAAGGATTTAGTTATTTTGCTCAGAGATTGTAATCCTAGTTATTTAAGTGTTGATTGGCTAGCACGGTTGTTTTCAGAATCGTCACGTGCATCCTATTTCTGCTGCTGGTGTTCATGAAGAAGCCAGTCTCAAGTCCATCACACAGCAAACTGACCTGGCTGACTTCATGTCAAGAATTGAGATCCATCAAATGAATTTTGAGGTGTGGTGGTTATATATGCTCAGCACTCTCCATAGACTTTTTTCCCTATATTTAGCCTCAAAAACTTTCTAGAACTTTGAGTAATCGGTTAATATAAAACTTGCAATTTTCATGTTTATGTCTCAATTGCTGTTTTTTAGTGAAATTTGAAAATGTTCTAGGTTTACATTTATAATGCCACTGCAAAATTAGCTGTCATGATTTGTTGATATTTAAATTCACTTCATGATAACCATTCCATAAATTTCATTTTTTAAACAAGTACTAAACTTGGTTCTACCATGACAGAATCGTCAATGCAATGTGAAGGTGCAGACAGTAGATAGAGCAGCAGGAATCCTCACTGAATCTGAGAAAGAGCGCATCAACAAAGCTCAAAAGCAGCACTGGCATGAGCTGCGCATTCCTCGCAGGTACTCAGTTCTCTCCTTGCTGTTCTGTGAACAAATAAAAAGTTTAATCAACTTTAAGTGTTTGTGTTGGAATTGAATATGAGTGATTTTAAGGATGGATCATATATACCTATGCTTGTAATCAGTAAAAAAAGTTTTTATTTACTACTGGACGCCAAATTGTATAAGTATCAAAGTATCAGTGATAGTTGATTCTCTAGGCCTGCTTGGGATGAGATGACTTCAAAGGAAGAGCTGCAACAGGCTGAGGCTGAAGCTTTCCGGCAGTGGCGCGTGCAACTGGAGGAGCTGTCATCTGTGGAGGACATTACTGTTACACCCTATGAGAAGAATCCTAGGGTGTGGCAGCAGCTCTGGCGAGTTGTTGAACGCAGGTGCCTGATTATACTGTGTAGTCTTATTGTAGCCTATTGGGTATTGGATGTGTATGTTCTATGCATGCATTTCCTTATATCTGAGAATTTATGTTAATGTTGATAGTGTTGGTGAATCTCATCACTCTGTGTTTTCAATGCCTCTTCTCATTAACCATGTTTGGTGTGTATTTCGTAGGTAGTGTTGAGTTTTTTACTACGTTCTGGTATTGAAAAGCCCAATTTTTAGCTTTCTTGAGTGAAATAGGAATTAAGTTTGCTAACAGTTTGTCCACGTATTAGCTATGGCACAGGCTCTACTTGCCGTTACATCTGTCATATTTATTTCAAGGTTAACGAAACTACTTCTGCAATGGTTTTGCTGTTGACTAGGTACTTCCTTTGTTCCTTTGCTAGTTCCTTTTGTTTGCTAGTTCCTTTGGAAAACTAATATAAGATGCATATGGTGCGATGAAATTTAGTTTTTGCTAAATCAAAAAGTATGATTTACTCATTTGCTGGTGAGATCATCAACTTGAACATGTCCTGAAATTGAGTACCGTAAAATGGGGTAACTTAGACCGGCGGGGTAACTTAGACCACTTTTTGTTTTTTTAACAAAAACCCCCACAACTCAAAAACTATTAGCCCCCCATTTGCAAACTATGACACTTTCCTCAAGTTTGTCATTTGCATATGTAACTAGAAGAGTTCTACTACAATGCACCAAAACCTGGAGTTATTTGGAGTTATTTTACCAAAAAAAATAATTGATTTTACCACCCGGTCTTAGTTACCCCAAGAGCTGGGGTAACAAAGACCATCACTTTTTTTGAAATTACATAAAGACTGTGAGAGGCAGGAGCCAGCAATTTATGGTGAGTGAAGCTAGAGTATAGACCTGTATTTTGCATGTTTCAATTCAAGTTTAATTTAGCTAGTAAAAAATTACATCATTTATAAAAAAAAAGTGGTCTAAGTTACCCCATTTTACGGTACGTTCAATGAATTCAAATGTTGCTCAAATTTACTTGCTCTATAAGTATTAGATGAAGTTTAAATTTCATATTTCATTTCGTGAAAGTTTGTGAAATTATGTTACATTCTCCTGAATGGCTCATTACCTTGTTGCAGTGACGTTGTGGTGCAGATCGTGGACGCTCGTAACCCCCTGATGTTCCGCTGCACTGACCTGGAGAAATACGTCAAGGAGGTGGACCCTGATAAGGTCAACTTACTGCTTGTCAATAAATCAGACTTTCTGAGCGAGGAGCAGAGGCAGGCTTGGGCTGATTACTTCAATATAAATAATGTCTTTGCCGTATTTTTCTCTGCATTGGCAGCCGGCAATGAGCTTGGTAAAGAGCTGGAAGATTTGTCTGAAGAAGAGGATGAAGAGGAAGAGTCTAGGGACAATGTTTCTGGCGAGAGTTCGAAGCTATTCGAGTTCGAAGCCCCTATCGTGCCCGTCTCTCAATGTGATGATGAAATCTCTTTAGTTTCCAGTGAAGACGAGTACGAGAGTGCAAATTCGTCTCTTGATGTTTCAGATTCTGAAGAATTAAACAAAGAAAACTTAGCTGAGATATCGCTTAATTGTTCACAATCAAGCATTGAATCTGAAGCTTTAAAACCACCGACAAATAAACAATCAAACAACACCTCAGTGCCTTCAGCAACCAATAGCATAGCTGAGACTTTAGATTCTGATAATGTGAAATCGTTAACAATTGGCAGCACACACAAGACTGCAGCTTCCTTCGTAACAACCAGCAAACTGCACAACAGAGAAGAGTTGATTGCTGTGTTGGAACACGCATCTCCTGCACCTCGTCTGCTGCAGCAGCACACCACCATCGGCTTGGTCGGCTACCCAAACGTCGGCAAAAGCTCTACCATCAACTGCCTGATGCAGGGAAAACGCGTCACCGTCTCCGCAACTCCTGGCAAGACTAAGCATTTCCAGGTCAGTTTACGCACAAACCAGCGACTTTCTTGATGCACGGCAGTTTGTTACGATGAGAACTTAAAATTAATTTTGTTTAACTTACTGCGGTACATTTGACGTGTAGGTTGAGAAGTTTTTCCTCACTTCTGGACTGATGTTGTGTTATATGCAAGCCATTTATATTTTCAGAGTTATAACATTGTATGTTTGCAGACGCTGTTTTTGACCCCTGAACTGGTGCTGTGCGACTGCCCTGGTCTGGTGTTCCCAGGGTTCGTCAACACCCGTCAGGAGATGATCATTTGGGGCATCCTGCCCATAGACGAGATCAGGCGCGACTACCACAGCCCCGTGACACTCATCTGCAGCACCCTGCCTCCTGCCTCCCTTGAGGCTGCCTACAGCATTCCTCTCCCCGCCGGCGACTCCAGGGCGCCTACTGCAGAGGAGCTACTCACGTCCTACTCAGGTGACGAGGTCCTGCTGCTCAGGTGACGAGTTCCTGCTGCTCAGGTGACGAGTTCCTGCTGCTCAGGTGACGAGTTCCTGCTGCTCAGGTGACCAGTTCCTGCTGCTCAGGTGACGAGTTCCTGCTGCTCTTTGCTTTCACTTTTTCGTGGCTCACATGAATTTTTGGTCACTCAACGTATTTTATGTCTTTTTATTCATCTTTCATTTTCAGTGAATTGAGGAAAAAAGTGTTACCTACTACTGATGTTTCCTCGTTGATTTATTGAATAATTCAAGGTTTGTTGGACTAACTCGTGATCTTGCACCGCCTCTAACGGTCGTCATTTGTTGCTCGTAGCAGTAATTAATTTAAGAATAGGTTACTTCAATCTTGTTAGCCTAAAGCTAGGGATATCAGTAGCCTTCGTGTATCCAGGCCTTAAAGTTAAGGACAAGTTTGTGATGAGGTTTTGAGCGACTGCGTACTACTATTACAACAATATGCTAATACTCTTCTTGGTTTATCATGAAGTGTTTTAAAATAAAGAAGTATTGCAGTGACACGCAGCTTCATGTCGGCACGAGGTCGTCCTGACACATCCCGCGCAGGCCGCGCCATCCTCAAGGACTTCATGAACGGCCGCCTCCTGTACTGCGTCGCGCCCCCCGGCCTCGACCAGCAGCGCTACCACACGTACACTGTACAGGCGGTCAGTCCTTAGTCCTTAGACCTTAGTCCTTAGACCATAGTCCTTAGACTATAGTCCTTAGACCATAGTCCTTAGCCTGCCTCAAACAGCGTAGTGCCGACACATTCCTATTATCCTACAGTCCAGGGGCCATACTTTCAAAACTCGCTAAGTGAACGTAAGTACTTACGCTCTATTTTCTTGTCTATGATTGGTGGATTTGGCTTGAAAGGCCGTCAATGATTGGCTGATGAACTTGCGATCTCTTAACTTTTTTTTGTAAGTATAGGCATTGGTCTATATTGATCCTAAGAAAGTTTGTACGGATCTTTCATCTTTGTCAAATTTTGAGAGCGTTTTTATTCACCATTTCTTCCTGGCGTGTCATATGCCGATGTTGGCAATGCGACGTTTGCCTGATTGCATGTTGCTCTCATTGTAGCGTGTGAGGTTTTAAAATCATCTCAATCCGCCAGCAATTATTTCGATATTTCTGTCGTACCGTCTTGATTCGCTGTAATGAAGGTCATGTTCTAGTGCAAATTATAACAGTACAGCTTCAACTTCAACGCTAAATGAAAATTTTTCACTGTAGGTATTAATTATTTCACATTTTTTCAATCATTTTCTCTCAAAATATTGATTGACTTTTCTACGTGGATATTTTTCTCGATCTTTACCTTCCTTGAGTATATTCAATATATCATTTATTAATGCAGAACTTGTACGGATTTTTCAGAAATGCAAGAATCGTGTCAAGCTCACGCCCATGCAGAAGATGATGATGGTGAGTTTGGTGAATGATTTCTGCACCTACAATACCTAGTGTCTAGTGTGCCTACAATACCTAGTGTCTAGTGTGCCTACAATACCTAGTGTCTAGTGTGCCTACAATACCTAGTGTCTAGTGTGCCTACAATACCTAGTGTCTAGTGCGCCTACAATACCTAGTGTCTAGTGTGCCTACAATACCTAGTGTCTAGTGCAGGGTAGTGCGCTCTACACGTGCCCTCTATTACTGTACCTACAATACCTAGTGTCTAGGGCACCTACAAAACCTAGTATCTAGGACGCGGTAGTGCGCTCCTCCCTTCCTCCAGCCCGGAAACCCTCCGACATTCCCCACACTGCGGGGATGGCAGGGCGCTCGTATCATTGCTGTGTGCGGGGCTGAAACAAATACTAAGGGGCACAGTATTGCTGTTATCTCGCTCTTATCTGGCCGCCATGTCACTAACATTTCTTGCCTGAAGACAACTGACCACAGTCTCAAGACTGCTTTATTATGGTCTCAGTACAGTTCCTATAAGTTCATTTTCAATTTATTGCATTGAAATGACCTTTAATGTAGAATATAATGCACATTTATGATTATTTCAATTATTTTTTACATTACATTGAGCACATACATTACATTGTTCTTTTCCATCGAGTATTAATACATTCCATCATATATTACTTGCATTAAAACTCACAATCTTTGTTATCTTTATGGCATTTCTTACATTCTATCGAATATTTTTTCATTACAGTAAATATTTCTTACATAAAAAATGCGTGCCATCTATTAACTTCACTTGCATTTCAACACCTGTTCGCATCATGATACCTAATTTCTCATAATTCTATCAAAAAATTATCTATTACATATCACATTGCTTCAACGATCCAAGTAGCCGGGTTGATGATTGACTAAAATTAATTCATGATTTCTTTGTTTCAAGAGCCCATCACATGGCATCGATCATTTTTAACGCATAAACTCTCCATTACATCCACACTAAATTCATTACATACAATTAGAATTTTTTATTGCATCAGGTTCGGAAACTTTAAACGTTTACTTAAACATTTACCTGTAAATTTCTTTTTTTAGGCTCAGAATTTATGTCATGTCTATAAAGGACATTTTCTGGTGAGAGATGTTCTATCCTCGGCGTGACCATCACTTATTCTTTGTTTGTCCTGCCTTACCGAGATAAGGAAATGATTATATGTGAGATAAGAAGTCTTTATCTCAGCGCCGCGAGCCGGTCAAAGTTTCCTGCTAATACGCTCATTAATTTGATAGCTAGAGTGTTGATAATTCCTATATTTGATGATATAAAAGCATTCAAACATTGATAACTAACACTTTTATCTGCGTTGTTGGGTAGGTTAGCAGCAGAACCAAAACAATTGAGTTATTACGGTACATAGCATACGAATTGGCAGATCAATTCAGATGCTATCACATGATACTGAGCTTCCTGTGTAGCTGTATTTAAAATGGCTGTAAAGTATACCCATAGATTATGACGGTCTTAATTCCTTATTTTATTTTTGTTGGGATTAATTTTTAATTTTTAAAATGTTCAGTCGATCGTATGAAGTGTGGGAGTGTTCGCCTCTGATAATATGTCTGAGTACCTACATCGAACTAAAAGAGGCCATCTTGTTGTGGAGAGAAGCTAACGTTGTATCATCTTACCTTAGCCTTAACTTCTTTATTTCTCGACGATACTTAACTTATTTCTTCTATATTTCTCTTGTCTAACTCGACGATTTCAACTCCATCTCAACTCCGCTCATGTCTATTCGACATCTCGTCTGAACACAGCGTCTCACCACACACCATGTAGTGCCTCACCACACCATGTAGCGCCTCACCACACCATGTAGCGCCTCACCACACCATGTAGCGCCTCACCACACCATGTAGCGCCTCACCACACACCATGTAGCGCCTCACCACACACCATGTAGCGCCTCACCACACACCATGTAGCGCCTCACCACACCATGTAGCGCCTCACCACACCATGTAGCGCCTCACCACTAACAGCTGTCACCACACACCACTAACATGTCCCCGCCTGTGCAGCCTGAGACAGCAGACGACCGGGACGCGGAGGTGCAGCAGGCGTTCGGTCTGCTGCAGCAGCAGCGGCCCGCGCCCGGCAAGCGTCCCCGCAAAACAAGGGTCAAGAAGCCCAAGGGATACGTCGAGTACACGTGCGTGTCTTGTGAATAATGCGTGTACACGTGCGTGTCTTGTGAATGATACGAGTACACGTGCGTGTCTTGTGAATAATGCGTGTACACGTGCGTGTCTTGTGAATAATGCGTGTACACGTGCGTGTCTTGTGAATAATGCGTGTACACGTGCGTGTCTTGTGAATAATGCGTGTACACGTGCGTGTCTTGTGAATAATGCGTNTGTGATAATGTTTGATCACTCGATGGATGTTATGCGATGATGTTTGATCACTCGATGGATGTTATGCGATGATGTTTGATCACTCGATGGATGTTATGTGATTTTTGAGCACGCGATGGATGTTATGTGATGATGTTTGATCACTCGATGGCTGTTATGTGATTTTTGAGCATGCGATGGATGTTTACTGCAAGGAACGCATCCTATATTCATCGTGTGCGCCTCTCCTGATAGCCCCACGTGCTCTTATCTTGGATAAGGTCATTCTTGTTGTCCTTGTGCCGGTTGTTATCATGGAATGCTGGCCTATTATTATAGGCCCAAAGTGAAAATGTGATTTCAAGACTGATTTACAAATTAATCAAAGTTTTACAATATGTTTACGTACTCCAAATATTCAATACATAAATTGAATTTCATGACTCGCGTGATACTGTTCTCACTTTCCTACACATCTCTTAACATTTGTTGTGTGCAGCGAGGACGAGAACGGCCCCGTGATGGTCATCACCAAGCCATGGAGGAACTTGGAGAAAAAGCAAAAATCCGTCAAAAAAAATCCCAACACGAATAACCCATATGCTGAATATCTCTGGTGATCTTCAGAGGTTTCCTCGCCTTCTAAGATGCATTAAACATTACTACTTTGGCTATATTTTCTTATCCTCAATTATATGTATAGCAAAATAAAAGAAATTGAAAATTTAAGTGTGCGGGAACATCTTTGTTCACATGAGGTTGATGAATCGTAACATGCCTCGACATACATGATGGTGTAGTTAACGTGGATGCTGGCTAATGGAAGATGTTAGTTTCTACTTAATTTTGGTTTGAGTGAGACACGGTTCCCCTAGTCTGAAATATTTTAATTTACTTTCCATTTACGGAGAAGTAAAAGTTGTGTCTTGTTTTGAATTGAACGCAAATATTGATGTCACACTTGTTCATGTAGATCGTATTTCTTTATCCGAACATGCTTCGGACCCAACAGGAGAAAAAGGCAAATTTTCTCTAAAACCAGTCAAATTTTGAAAGTTTTATTTTTAATAAATTTAATACAAAATACTATTTTGTATAATTAAAATAATATTTTTCTATTTTTAAATGCATAACGGATTAATTTCTGAGACATATTCTGATTTGTTTTCGCGTGCAAGATGGTATTGAATATGAGCTGGAATTGATCGTGCAAACATACGACCTTTTCATGCCAATGGAATCCTAAGAATTCTAGAAACACGCGTCAAGTGTTTGACGTGACCCATATTTGGAGTTAGTGCGATTTTACAATTATATTGCAGGAATGGTACCAAGACCCGTCTGTTATTTCCGTTCTTTTTTATAGCCGCATTGAGAAATAAATATCTTCAATTTCGGCAAAATAGATTCTCAGCACTTCACTACGCGTGACACTTTTTGATTTCTGTTTGACCAGGAATTGATTATTGCTATTCATTCGTTTAATTTTTAGCAACGAATTTTTTTATTTGAAAAAAAGGAGGAACTAGCGGCTTGGAACTAACCGAAAAGTAAATTATCATGGATGTGGGGGTTAGATCCACGTCATCAAATGTTATATTCATAGGCTAGTATAGCTTCATCGGCCAATCACATGACTTGAAGCTCCAAATAATTTTAAGAAACCATGTCGGCTACTTATTTGAAATCTGTTCAGTTAAGTATTAGATATTTATTGGTCATCAGAATTTCTAGTCCGATATGGCCTTAAATCATTCGAATGAAGCCGTAGTCGAAATATTTCTCTTGTACAACCATGTGAACTGAATAGAGATGACAACAATAACAAAAATGTTTCTGTACTTAATTGGATTTTCGACTATTCAGTGCATTACTCGACCAGTATAACGGTATAAATTGAGGTTTAATTTAGTATCGATTAATTTCTTAAGACCGGACGATTGGATGCGCCAGACGTTTTTGAGGCAAGTTTTTCAATTTGCAGTAGTCAAAAAATTTCTCTCTCCACGGAACAGTTGTGACTGAAATGAACTAATGAAAATTTTTCTTCATTTTAAGCCATGCAATTTTTTATTTAACCTTTATTCGGTTGTTAGACGGCTTCTCAAGCAGCTCATCGTCCTTAAAAGTAAGTTAAGTTATAGTAATTAGAAACTGAATTGTAAATTGAAAATCGTGAACTGTAAATGAAAATGAATTGCAAGATCGAAGCACTGGTAGTATAGTTTTAATATCCATGAAGTTTTATGAAAATATGTGAGGTAGGCAGATAGTACCATGGTTGGATAGTACGACATGTCTGTATCCGGCGCTTAGCCCGCCGCACGGCAGTAAATGTGCGACGATTTATATTTCAGATGGATTGATCATCATACAACACAACAACCAAATTTCTCGCAAGATTTGGAAAACGACATTTGGTATGACAAATTAAAGATAAATGGGGATAGTTGCAAGTTTCTAGTCACTTCGAGAATTGAATGGTGTGACTATTTGCAACTTTTATTTGTATCGAGATCCTGATAAGCCTGAGAGGCGTTTCTGACAGTGAAGAAAAAGAGCTCTAGTTCAGTACATACCAAAGCGTTGTCGACGATTGTGGTGGTGTAATACAGTTTTGCGCAGTCAGTCGGTGTGAGTAAGCTGCTCTTCAATATGGGACGAATGTTTAATTTCTGTTTGGTGGCGGTCCTGCTAGTAGGTAAGATACCTAATATATTTTAGAAGCCGAGGTAATCGTTTAAGATTAGTTCGCTTGTCGGATTTTGTAGCAATCAATTTAGCAGGCGCTTGATAGGTTGACTCGAACCTATCTATACAAATATAAGTCGATTTTTTTTCTGAACGTGGCCACAATCACATGACGATGATTCACTTTCTTTCCTGTTGCTGTAAATGCCGTTAGTATTCATGATAGAGGCTTCTACATTTCACGTTAGGTATATCGATTGGTCGGCAGCTATATTATTACAAATATAATCGTTCTTTTCATCATTCCATTATTATGATATAGACGATCACGATTCCCATTCCAGAATTTACAAATAACAATTATCATTATCAACTACAATTGATACCCATCAAGAGTTCACTTTGATTTATTGTAAGTAGAATCATAGATCCAAATTTATAGTTTATACTATGATAAAAACTATATCATATGCCTTGATAATAGGCTTATAAATGCTGGTTAGCTACTAGCCATTTAGGTACATGAGCCCTTAAAACATTTAATGAGCCCTGAGACTAAGCTGGGCTTAGAACATTTCTTGAGCCCTTAAAACATTTAATAGCTATACTAAACTCCAAAGTATAGCCTAAACTTGCTGCTTGTAGTAGTGTAGCTTTAATGGAAATCTATTTGGAATTTGGAGTTGTCAGAAATGACACTTGGCCCTTGTGCATCATGTGCTCCATTATAAATTTAATTGTTTTTGTGATTGAAGTGCCCATGATAAATTATTACAAAGAAATTCACCAGTCTCTGGAATCTGGATTCTACAACCCTTGCATGATTTCTTTTGAGAATTGTTTAAAAATGTTTCAAATATGAGTACGGTAAACGCGGTATATTCCGGCATCGTGGGTAATTCAGTCACCTCTCTTTTTCCTTTATATTAAGCTTTGTTTTAGTTCCATGCGTTTGTTGATGGTTGAAATGGTGACGTCGTACATTTGTGCGTCAAACTACTGCCAAAACACTAGGTCTTGGCCATCTAGCAGGAAAATATTGAGATCCAAAGAGACAATGTGGGCTACCCAGTGATATCATTGAAAAATGTGTCAAATTTGACAGTTGACCTTGCTCTACCAAATAGTGAATAACTGTTTGTATAGGAAGAATATTATGGTTTGAGACTTTTAAATACGTCTGTGAATATATTAGGAATCCTTCAAGTATACTTGTATTTGCTGATTTCAAGTGATAAATAAATTAATAGATGATTAAGTTGAGAAATGGATTTAGACACATGAAAACTAATTCCGTCACAACTTGAATTGGACACACACAGATCGTTCCAAGCTATGTACAAAAATTAAAATTTGCTTAATTAAAAGCTTAATAGTTGTTAATTAAAAGCGTAATTAAGTAGTGTTCAATATTCATTAGTGTTCTAATTCAAAGCTGTGTTGTATTCCAATACAGCTCACACAGGGAACGGAATTTGAACACATGGATGATGGCATTACGTATCAGTAGAATTTGAAGCACGGACGGAATACGCCTCTCCACATGCCAAATATTGCCACACACAGTGTCGGAATATAGGGATTTGGTAGGTTTGCATTCTAAAGGCTTTTAAATATGGCAACATTTTGTGACGTTTAATTGTTGCTGGCGCATAGTACGGTGTTTTGTGAGTCACATAAAGCAAACAGAACTCGAGTAACGCATACGGTTATTTTTTATAGTTTTTCATTTTTATGTGTCCTTAATGTGTCAGAATATACCGCATTTACCCTATTTAAAGGCAGTTGTTGAATGTTCTTTTATTTCATCAGCAATGTGGAATTTTTTTTTTCATTTTTCCACATTGCTTATCATCTAATGTAGTACTTGCATTGGAGAAGCCAAGACTTTCTGTGAACAATATATAGAATAGATGGATGAAATGCAATGCCTAAGTGAAAATTGCAGAAGCCCTCCATCAATAGGACAAAACTGACTGTAAATCTGTCAATTTTGTCTCTTCCTATTGTCTTGTGTCCATATTTCTTCGATTTAAAATGAGATTTTCACTATTCCGTAACTTATAAAGTTACCTTTGCTAATGAGATTGAGATGCATTGGGACAAACTACAGAATTTTTAAAATTGGTTTACTATGGATTTCCTAGTTTATTCAAAATTTAAATACCTAAATTCATTACCTACTTATGAAAATGCTGGTTTCCATAATACCTTACTGGTCTACTTATACTATGACTCAAAAATGAATTTGAAGGAAGTCTAAAAACACTTGGCTCTGCTACCGTGATGTAATGACATCAATTTCTAGTTTGGCACTTGAAATGGCCCCTTATTAGCATTAGGCGACTGCATTCCTCGATAGTCTATAGACTGCATTGAATTGAGGTCAGATATTTAGACCAGTTATTCAAGGACATGCTCAACTGACTACTGATAATTTGTTAATTGGAAGCTCAGTGGAAGCTGCATACTGGATAATTATACAAATGGGGTTGTTTATGCCATTCAGAATAGTTATATGGAGAAGCTGATAATATCAAGGTATAAAGAAAGTTTTTGTCAGCTCGTTCATTGTAATGAATGTCCATTTATAAACACTTCCTCACTGCTTTCTAGACACGATATTTATGCTTTTTGTCTACTCGTGCTGCCAATTCATAGAATTTGAAGTAGTTGCCAAACCAGTTATATTATCACAGGCCATTTCATATGCCTTTTTCTCCTGGAATTTCACCTTTTGCAGGACTGTAATGATATAAATAAGACTGTATGGCTGTTTCCTTTTGTAATTTTAAGTAGATTTTATAGGCGGCTTTGAGTTGTGAACATTACTTAATTAGTTTGAAAGAATTTTTACAAATGGCTATTGAGAGCGTGTTGAGAATCTACAAGAGATGTTATAACATTAACCATATCATGTCATTCTATGGAATTTTGTTTGTTGGAGTCTTGGTGTAATCATGTCATTGATTGCATCAAAATTCTGTAGTTTGTCTGGTCTCCATACAAACTGTTATCCAGCATTACTACTGTTGAATTAAGATTCTGATAGTAGAGCAAAGTTTTCAGTACGGTCCCTTCATATTTCTCTATTACAAAAGTGAACTGCTTTGAATGTAGGCAAGAGTGGTTATTGAGTATATTGTTACTGGATCCATTTTCAATCAGTCTAGTTTTAATCCTGCTCTTGCTGAATTTCTGGTCTTTGGATGGACAAAAATGGCCAAGTTGGCTAAGAGATAGAAATCCTTGAAGAATAAAACTTGAATTCCAACTGCTAAGTTGCTGCTCCATTGAGCTTGTGTGAAAATTTATAAAATTAAGCAAAAATAGTCAAAATATACAATGAAACTATTAATACATGGTTTGAAGTTATGAGTTTGTGCTAGGTAAGTAGTTTTGTATATACAAGTTTGATTCTCAACTTGCCCATCATTTTGTTGAGCTTTTTGTGTAATTGTTGAATTATTTCCTTTCGCATATTGCTTCAAGATGCATAATCTTTATCTGATGGAATTTGCACTGTCCTTTCCCTTTTCTCTCTGGGCTTCACTTGAGTCTTCATGCTCAATCTAGCTAATAAATGGCTAAGTTGCACTTGAAGAAAAAAATGTCATATTGTTCAAATACTGGAACTTTTTGTATGTAGATCTCGTTCGGCCCTTCAGCTGGGTTGAACTGGGTTATGATGACTCCTACAAGAATAGAAAGTGCATCGCTGTTTGCAAGATTTCAAAGAATTTTAGAGTGATCCCTTCATGCTGCCCCTGTCCCCTCTTGTACATGTATTAATGCATGGTTGAACTAGTAAAAGGTTGACCCATCAGAAGCCCATTTATGCGGATGTAGTTCGTTGTTCGCCTGTGACGTTACTGAACTCAGTGACGTAACTGATCTCAGTGACGTAACTGATCTCAGTGACGTTACTGATCTCAGTGACGTTACTGATCTCAGTGACGTTACTGATCTCAGTGACGTTACTGATCTCAGTGTCGTAACTGATCTCAGTGACGTCACTGGCATTAACCAATCACTGAAATGCGATCATACCAGTCAACCAATCCGTCGTGGGAATGACGGGTTTGTTTAAGTTTCTCGATCTACGTGACGTAACAAGAAAGCTGAATTGAGAGACGGAACCTCTCGTGGGCCAACCTTATATAGTTCAACCTTGTTGTATCAATGAGCCGTTCTATTTTCCTTCTGCTGCCTTCAGTATGTTTGCAATAAGTTTCTATTACTTGGGATAACGTAAGGCTGGCATAGCGGACGTCACGATGCCATAAATAAATAATAAAGATTAATTGCCACAAAATTCGATTGACGGTGGACTGTGTTGAAACCTTTCAGTAAGAAATTACTTGGAAATCTAGTAAATGACAACTTTCTAATTTATTCGGATATGCAGGTTTTAGCAACGATTAAAAATAGACTACCAATCTATTGAATTTATTGAAGCTAATCGTTGTTGGTTTCCACGTAATAAAAGTTGGTAACGTCGAAACTTCTTACTTGGAAATGCATGTATTTGGACGAAAATCGGCTTCTAACTCGTCCCATGAATAAATAGATTCTGACTTGCGTAATACTCAGGCTCGCCTTGCGGTACAGCGCTATATTTGACGAATCCCTGACATGTTGCAAGCGTCCGACCAGCTTACGTAACCGTATCGTCAGCAGCAGGCTGGCCTCTGTAATACTCTGCCTCTAATGCGCTCGAGTTTGCTTTGCGGTCATGATCACAGATCGATAGCCTGGCCGTTGCTGCACGTTTTCTGCCGCGTTTGCATTACCACGAAGTACCCTTTGGGCTATCTCCAGTCACTGTTTACTGGTCTATCATTGCTCTGTTGAAAATTAAAACTAGTGACCCAACACTTGTGCTTGGAAATAACCTTCAAAAAGAACGTATCCCATTTTATTTTGATCGTGCTGTACGGACAGCAACACCAACTGTTTATTTGCAATGTACACATTGTCAATTGATGTCCATCTGATGAGATCGCTTTTACCACTTTCAACTTGACGCTTTTACCACTTTCAACTTGACGCTTTTACCACTTTGAACTTGGCGCTTTTACCACTTTGAACTTGACGCTTTTACCACTTTGAACTTGACGCTTTTACCACTTTGAACAACCACTTTGAAACTTGGCGCTTTTACCACTTTGAAACTTGGCGCTTTTACCACTTTGAACTTGAAGACGGACGTTCTGCAGTTCCATGTGAAAGTTTCCGTTATATTGAGCGCTAGTTTTTCTATCGTTGCATGCGTAGCTACACTTCAGGTTCTCTAACCCAATATCGGTACTACCGTTGAGCTCGGCGAAACCTCGGAAAGATTATGAAGTATGTCATCTGCAACAGATATAGACTTGGTCCTCCTAGTACATGCCGTTCATGTGGCTCCTATTTCCAAGATGTTTTCGGCTGTTATTTTCGCAGATTCAGTCGTTCAACGTCAGGAAGCTAACTGGAGGAACTTGCCTACATTGAAAATACTTGGCGAGACAGTTGACTTTACTAGATACGATTCGTATCGTCGACTGAACCATCATGCACTCGAATTGAGACCACTCTTGTCTACATCAGTAGTAACATTGTGCCAGATTATTTATCATATTGGATATTTCTGCGACTCCCCTAAGCGAATTTTTTGCCCCGCAGGTGTCTATGGAGATGAGAGCTCTACGTCTTCTGTAGCCCCTCCTCCTACCAACGAAACTCCTCCAACAACCACCACCACTTCAACAAGTACCACGGACTCTACCACAAGCACCTCGTCCACGACCTCAGCCCCTACCACATCCACGAGCACCACTCCTGCCACATCCACAACCACCATTCCAGCCTCTACCACCTCATCGCCCGTCACGACCCCAGCTCCTGTTAATGACGATCAGTTCTACAGGGTTACTGAAGACAACGTGACATGCATCATGTTCTCGGGAGACGTAAAGTTCACTGTGACGTACCCTCAGGCTGGTGGGAAGGTGAGTCTCGACACTTTACTATAGAATTCATTTGTCTGCATTGTCAAAACTTGAAATTTACTCCTCGCTGACTGCTATAGCGGTCATGTTGAATTTGCACCAAATGAACCACCTTAATTTTCTATCTTCTACTGGAAAGAACCAATTAATATTTATGAACGTGTAAGTTGTAAAAAAGTACTTGCACTAAGAAAAATTGTATACGTATATACATTTTGTATATAGACTTCTCGTATATAGATGGCCACACTAGTAGTTGACGACTATAGACTTCAACAATAGAAAGTGCTTTTCTTTTTAAACTGTTGAATCTGGACAGCTGTTGCCGTTCGTGCTAATTGGATTACGTGAAAAACAAAGGCGAACGTCAATATGTTAATCTTGCAATAAACATCTCGCTTCACCGCAGTGGCTTTGTCCGTTGAATGGACAATGTAATACACCTTGATAAAGTTCTTTTTTTATTATTTATTACGATGGAGTTTCATCATGATTACCCGCTTACCCGCCTACATTTCTTCAGGTGAACACTACGACAGTGAAGGTGCCTAAAGCCAATGACAAGACGAGGCCGGCTACCAGCAGCGGCTCGTGCAACGGCAGCGAGCAGTATCTGCTCGTCGAGTGGGGTGCCACCAACAAGAAGTTAGTGCATATCATGCCACAAAATGCTATTGTCATTCCCATCATTATATTGATAATGAGTGATGTTGGTCGAATAATTGCAGCTGCAATTAATCGGGGGCGCGAAATTTGTATATAATCGATACTTCCTTCGGAATGGTGTCCTTGCTTCGTACATTTGAATGTTTTGGTGAAAAAGAATTGCATTGTGCCTCTATAAGTCGTCCTTGATGGTCTAGCGAATTTTTTTGTGGAACTTTGTCGAGTCAGTACCGTCAGTGGGCATACCGGTATTAACTCAAGGACTGCTAGCTTCAAAAGGCATTGCAATTTTGAATTTTTCAGCTCGAACTTCCGTCTTACTTTCAACTCGACCGGACTGAAGTGGGAGCTGGTCCACACGGAAGCTAACATCTACATGGATGAGGCAACCTTCGTGAATGCTTCTGACATCGGTGAGCATTCGATCAATTTTGTCTCACAAATAACATCGCGAATTATTATCCTTATATTTTCATTAACTTCGTTGCTGGTAGTTTCGATGTCTACTTCGTTAAACATAGTGTGGTTTTAATTTACATTGTGAAACTAGTTTTTCCCAAAAAATTGGAACATCGAGAACTTTTCTCGGAATTGCGTAATTTATAAATCGCAGAAAACTCTGAGTGTTGGCCGATCGAACTTGTTGATCTGTGCATTCTAAAAGCATTCTGCATTCATTTGAAATTTGAATGGTGTCCATTAAAAACACTGAACTTAGTCCAGGCCCACAGGAGTCCTGACATGCCGAAATGTATTTTTTTTATCAGGGCAAGAATTGACGGTGATGGGCGAATTCCCTGGCTTGAGCTACGTAGCTGTTGACACGAACAGCAGCCTCACCTGTCGCGCCCTCACCGAGAGCAGCAACTTCACCGGCCAGGTAGATCTCGTCTAATGGACGCACTCTGCCACATTGTTGGCGCTCATTTTCATTAACGCGCAACTCTAAATCAGAGCACCCTGTATTTTTGCGAAATAAATGCATTTTTGGGGAGAATAGCTTGATACTTTATAGATTGACTGGATCATTATCCGAAATTATTATATCTTGCATTTCTTTCCAACTATACTCCCAAGGTATTCGATTACTACGCCTTTGCGGAACACTGTTTAATTTGAAATTATTAGTCGCATACTTATAAGCCCCCTGGTGTACCCGTCAATATTTTTAAGTGAAGGTTAATGAAGTAGAATTCTATCGATAAATGGATTCATTGTATTTTCTTGTGCACTGGTACGCCAATGCCAAGCCGCTGCTGGTATACACAGTGCTATGTGCTGTTGAGGTGGGTTAATAGCTTCATAAAGCGATCATGCAGAAGTTACATTCTGGATTGTTCATTTCCCAGGCTCTATATTTTAACTGATTCGTGTTTTCTGCCTGTGAATTCTATGGATTGGGATAAAGACACATTCTTGATAAATTCTGTCGTAGGTACTGAATTCATCCAGCAAATTCGTGGTTGCGGCTAGTGCCGTGGGTGTGGAGATGCAGGCCTACAACAGCGTGCCCAACACCACGAACCTGCAGCAAGGCAAGTTTATTCCAAGCATGTCTTGATAGTTACACAAATACTAGCGTATCGTCAAAATCCTCAATTCCTTCCGCTTGATTCTGCTAGCAGCATTTTAAGACCATATGTTTAATCCTACCCTGCAAGTTACCATGTAAGGTAATTAAAGTTATCTTAAAATAGCCCACCTCGTTCCTCCGGTTAGTTCCATGCTGAGGAAATACGATGTGTGCTCTTCAGGATCGGTTGTTGCCACGACGCCGAAATGTACGATCTTTCAGCATTTGTGTTTCAACCGAATATGGTTATATTTTCAATTAACAAAGACGAGAGGTTATCGAAGGGAAATTTTGTAATTTCCCTGTATGCTTGCATATTTAGACCTATGATAACTTCTGAGATTGACACATTCTTGTACTAGTGTTGAGCAACATTTAATTTCTTCGTATCTTCGTATGTCCGCACACTGAACTATTAGAAAAGGCTCTTTCAATGAAACTTACGGTATAGCCTCTTCATTTCCCACGTTACCAGAGCTATAAAAGTGAACTTTGAACCCACATTCATAACAGTATTGCAAGTTTGCAAGGACGAAAATTGTGGAGGAAGTTGTTGAGGAGCCACGTGTGTGTCTGTATAGAAGTAGAAAGGAAACTCTAATTGATTAGCTTTTATTTATGAGTAGAACGGGCCTGACTTCTTGATGTGAAATCTGATAACGACGGGAGCATTGCATACGTTTCTCCAGCGACTTGGTGGAATCTTAGTTTGTTAATACAAAGTATACTAATCTGAATCTAGAATTGCCTCTAGTTAGTCATTAACCCTCTACCGCCGTATGGCACTCTCCGGGAACATAACTTGCAACTTGAATTATTCATAAACTATAGAGTGTAACAATCTGAGGACGCAACAGAGAACATTAAAGTTGTACGTGGCGGCAACCATCCGTGCACGTCATTTTGCGCTCACTAGAACGTATTTTTTTTTTAAGTAGACTTGACAATATTTTTCCTGTTACTCATGTCAGGCGGTAGAGGGTTAATTAGGACAAATCAGAATGAAGACTAATTTTCACTTGAACAGGTTCTCGGTGCGAAATGGACATCACGAGTGACCTGGTGCCAATAGCAGTCGGCTGCGCGTTGGCGGGGCTCGTGCTGCTTGTGCTCATCAGCTACCTTGTGGGACGTCGGCGCCGTTCTGCTGCCTACCAGAGCGTCTAAGTTTCTCATAGATTCTAAACTTCATCGCTGGAGTGAAGTGCGCACCACTTGAAACTTCAGTAATCTTAACAGCCCTGTTTCCTCCTGGTTGCGTTAGATTATGGCTAATTTAGCTGATCAATTTTTGGCTAGGATTGGTATTTCGACTTGTGGCTGAGGTCGTGGATTTACCAACAGTGAAATAGTCGGTGCTCAGTCGGATCTGAATCAAATTTTGGGGTTTCTTTAGCCGCTAATAATTGTGGACATCTTTCATTCTATTGTTTACGGTAGATTAATTTCAATAAAATATCTAAAGTAATAAATTTATATTAAAAGGAGCTGTTATTCATAGAATTTTATCCTCGATGAATGTAATGAACAAATAAATACATAGGATGCTCGTATCTTCGTCTAATCGCATTCCATTTGACGCGCTGTTATGTGGGTAAACTGCCTCGTTCCAGCAGGCGGAATGAGGAATGGTGACATACAGTGCGACAATTGTTGGTTATGTGTATTGAAGAATATAACTATATTTTATGTTGCTATTATTAAGTTCCTATATTAGTTACACTGGTCATGTATGGTGAAGATATTTTGTGATCAGATAGAACATATCGCGTGGCATGATCAGGTGCGTAATTATACGTATTGCCAGAAGGATCAGAAATTATCTCATCGCTGCAGTGAGATAGGCGGTCTCTTGTGCTGAAGGCGACGGTCTTGATCTTACATGCTCAATGCAGTTAAAGTGCCCGCGCTCTAACGTAAATTTCAGACCCTTGCTTGAACTATCAACCGCCGGACCTGACATAGCCTATCGGTAGTTATTTGAATTGGCAAAATTTCTCGTGGATCCGTATGGATAATCCGCTAAATCGTATCTTTTGGAACAAAGATACCCAAGCGAGAGCGAATGGGAGCATACATCGGAAGTAAATCAGACTACTAGTATTGATGGATGCGAGCACCTCAGAATGAAAACCTTGGAGATTTTTCAGCAGGCGTATACATGCCGCGGAATCTTGGAAGATGCCACACGTATAATAGTGATAGTTGATCATACATGAGCTGATAACGTTGCTCTGGTCTTCGTCTCGTAGTCATGGCTGCAGGCCTTATCGCCAGAAATAGAGCTTGGTCTCAATTATACTAGGAGCATATACTGCATGCCTGATGCAGTTGAGCTTAAGGCCATGAATGGCACTCGTTGCTCGACGGCAGTGTGATATTAATCTTGTTAATCCGACGCATGTAAGTCGTGCGTCCATTGATATAGGTTTGCTTAGTAGACCGTTTGATGTATCGGTGTGGCTTGGGTTACTGCGAGCGTGTTGTTTTCAGGTATAACTATTTATGCACGTACCTTAGATCTTCTGGCGCATAAGCCACAAATTTGCTGGTTTCGTATGGCTATAGTTTTGCTTTAATCTTTTTAGATGCGTATATATTCTATCTTCATTTATATGCATAATAATGAAACTATTACGATGATAACTTTGGCGTTCTACTCTAAGTTATATGCATTCAAACAGGAAACCATGGAATGAATTAGGGCAACTGGTTTGGCATTCATGGTTAATGAAATTCAGTTTAACGAACCTAGTAACTTCAAAATGAAGCCTATTTGACAATTTAAGTGCGTAAGATGCTTCTTTTGCCAGAGACGCCGCCTTCAACTTATCAAGGTATCTCAGTTTGTTAACTCCAGTTGATTTGGCTGTTAGTAAGCAGGAAAATTATAAATTTTAATGTATTCATTGATGTAAGTATACATACAAAATATAACTTTCGAACTTAAAATGACTTTGCTTCCCTTTGCATTAAATTCGCGACACATAAAATTTTGGCAAAGCAGCAAAAACGTAAAATATAAATCTCTTGATTGCATTGCATGTTGCAACTACTTGAACAATGAACTCTTCTTCATTTTCGACTTCATAATTTTAGGGTCTAAAAGGACGGTGCCAACTCGGCGGCTCGTGTCTGCCAATATTTTCTGGTACTTAGCGTCGGTAGGTTCCTGATATGGCAGTTCTTCCTCCTCGCTATCGTCATCGTAGGTGACGCCCATCTTGCGCTTCGCTCTTGCACCTCTGCCAACTTCTCTCCCATTCAGAGATGTTCTACTTTGAGCTGCCGAAAGCACTTTCATTGAACCAACGGAATTAAATTTGTACTTCGGCTCATCCAAAATTAACGAATCCATTTCGCAGTTCTTTCTTTCTTCGCTGCACTCGCCACCGATCGTACCAATCTGCTCCTCGGCAGCGGCAACAACAGACTTCAAGTTTAGTATTTCACTATGAGAATGACGATCAGGGAAATGTGAAGATGGTGGTTTTTCTGTATTTAAATGAGAATCTTCGACGAGCTTGGGTGCCAGTGATGCATCTTGGACAAATGTTTCACTTTTCACATCAATGCATTCTTCATGACTTTTCAACCAACTCTCGAGAGCAATTTCATCAATCTCATCACCATAAAAGTCGTCTAGCTCATCATTGTAGTCATTAGAAGTATTGCGTTTACACCATTGCTCAGAGGTCTTGATGAATTTTGGAGCATCTAAGGCACTCCCATTCTTACCGATTGTGTTTACGTTCAGCTGAGTTGCATGCACGTTCTTGTCATCAATGTCATTAGAAGTGATACCTCGACATATATATTCATCATGAGTTAAGCGCCCGTCATGTGCATTAGTTTCTTGCTTAGCATTCAAAGACTTTATGGTTTCTTGAGAATGCGTTCCATAATTGGACGGAATGGGAGACTGTGAGTTTTTGGTCTTTTTAATCTTGAGCCAACCGCTGCTGCCGGAGGCAGATTCTTCAGACACTGCATTCTCAACGGTCGATTTGGCTTCCATAGCTTGACTGGTGGCATCACGGTCATCCTAGAACATAAATCATTAATTTAAAGTCTTTTTTTCAGCTATCTTCCGAAATAAAGAGTTTTGAAATTTAAAATTAGGCTCGTCTTCTAAGCATGAAAATGAGCAGCATTAATATCCATCACAACCATGAACCTGGTATCTACCAAGCATACTTTCATTTCTGATTGCTGATTAGAAAACGAGATCGGTATAATCATAAATATTATATCGTTAATTTCGATTATAGATTGCACCGACCTCGGCCTGGACGTCTGAAGGGATGAGGATGCCGCGACTGGAGCAGAATTCCCTGACGTGGGCGACGAAGGAAGCACCAAACTTAGCTACTTTGGCCGCAGTCATGCCTTCCACTGCACAACATACGCGACTGTTATCATGGCTGTTTAATTACCGGGATAATTAATTACATCGCATCGGCTTATTTTGGTCAACGTATACGCAACTTCCAATACATCAGAGTTGAAATGTCACTATCTTTAATTGGCAGCAAAAAAAAAAAACTTTCCGGGAGGAAAAACGTATAACACTGAATATGCGCATCGGTGAAAAATAAGTTTGAAGAAATCTTTGTATCGCTCGCAGTCACGGGAACTAATAAGTTTTTCATCGCGGCACTCCGTCACAGAGTAGTGCGGTAGTGGTGCATACGCGTGGCTACGCGTATGCACCACTATACATGTCGAATACATGTATGATAATAATAATTGTAATATGTATGCACCTATTTAATTCGTTACATTAATTGCACACCAAATGGAATTCAATTATCTGAATTAATGATTATTTAGGAAGATTTGGTCCTAAACTTTTAGCCATCTTGTGCAATTACTACACGCCTCGAAAAACATTTTAGCTCCTCGTTGAAGATCATCATTTATCTATACGATTATATGAAATAACTTGCTCCTCCATCACCCCTAGGGAGTAATTTACGTCAAATATGAGGACTTTTCAAGAATACCTTGAAGAAGTTGTTGAGTGTTGCACGGCAGCGACGAGGCGATGCCGAGGAGCGTCTTGTTGTGAGCTACCATGTAGGGCATGTAGCCGCTGTCGTCGCCAAGCTTGTTGCGCAACACCAACAGCGATCTGTACAGCTCCGTCTGGGTATAATATTATTATATTACTATAAGAATAATATTTGTATAAGGTATATAGGGTATAATATTAGTATAAGATGGAAGAATTTGTTCCTTTAAGCAGGTATCATTGGAAGCCAGAGCATTTTCGAACGGTACTCTGATTTTTGAATATATGTATGCGATCAGTGCAAACGAAAAATATTGTTCCATATATTGAAAAATTTAATAAGAAAATTGTCATTAAAATAAATTCTCTGGGCTTCAATGAAATCTGCTTCAAGTCTGGGTATAAGCATACGATGGTTGTAACCAGCAGACGATATCTATACATACATAGTATAGTATCTTCGGCATTAAAGAATGTGCCTGGATAGGCCTGTCACCGATTCTTGTACTTTTCTTGGCTAGACTGGCTTTTGATCAGATCTTTTCAACAGACGGTAGATTAAAGGTCGCTTCTAGACATCAGTTGTTCCGTAGGGTACGAGGCATTTTAAGACTAAACATATGCTCATGCATGGCCTTGTCTAGTCTGTTCTTGAACGCGTTCATACTCGGAGCGTCACAATATCTTCAGGGAGGCTGTTCCACATGTCAGTGACTCGAAGCGAGAAGAAATGTTGTCGCGTGGATAAGTTGCACCGCAGTTTTTTTAGTTTATAGCTGTGGCCCCTGGTGTTGGTTCTTGTTTCAAATTCTAGTAATCCTTCTGGGACCTTGTACAAACCATGAGTATACTTGTATACTTCAATGAGGTCACCACGCAGGCGACGATAACGGAGACTGGGAAGCTTCATAATCTTCAATCTTTCTTCATAAGACTTGCCCTTTAATCCTGGNGTATTTGGAGTCTGATTACCTCTAAAATGGGTTGGCTTTGTGATGTGCTGGTATAAAAATGAGTCTCTCACAGACTCCATGAACAAGGATGAAGGGTGATTCTCATCCCTTGGAGAGGATTCATGTACCCAGTCTATTTCTGGATGGTTAGAGTCACCAACGATTAACGTATGCGACCTGCTGAAAGTCATGCTTGGTAGAAGACTGTTCAGTACTTTATCGTTATCAGAGGAACTGTTGGGTGATCTATACAGGACACCTATAAGGAGGCTATCCCTGCTTTTTAAAGAAAGGTTACACCACACTGATTCTCTAGCTGATTGGTGCTCTGCTGATAACTTAACTTGTTGGGCCCCATAAAAGGTTCTAACCCACAGAGCTACACCTCTACTACACTGCTCTTCGTTTAAATTATGAAAGCAATCAAAACCTGGCAACTGAAATTCAACTGGTAAAATTTTCCCCCCGTGATTTTTGGGGAGTGTCTCTGTAATACAAATAATGTCTATACACTAGTTTCCGATCACAGTTAACAGTTCATTTCTTTTGTTCAAAACGGAATCAGAGTCGTGTAGAAACATTTCAAAACTTTTTGTGCACTTCCATCTTGATGTAAGCATAAACTTTTTACCTTATTTACAGAACTGGATTTATATACATGATTTCCACTATTTAATTGTCTTCCATCTCCCGTGGCTGGCGGCGAGCGGTCGGAGTCCTCGTGAGATCTTGAATGGTGTTGACATGATTTTCCGTGTTTATGCGTCTGTTTCGCTCCTGCCATTTCTTGCGGAAAACCGCCCTCTCTAAAGGGGTGAAATCCTTTTTCACAAAAACAGACTTGAATTCAACAGTTTCTCCCAATTTTTTCGCCGCTTTCAGCACGCTCCAAACCTGGGCCGGATCCTTCACAGTCACCAATAGAGGTTTGCATGCGTTAATAGCAGCATTCTTGGAGCGCAGCCTCTTGCACGATGCAATATCAACCTGTGTGCTTAGTGCTTTACTACAACAGTCTGCCACATACTTATTATCGGCCATCACACGTTCGTTCGTCTCAGATGCGGTGCTTTCGGAAATGCCGAACCAAACAAGGTTGCACTTCCTTCGTTCTCTGTCTAGTAATTCGCGGGAGCTTTCGCTAGCAAGTTCCATCTTTTCCAAGTTTCCTGTATTTTTCCGTTGAGCTCTCTCTTCGATCAGCTCTCTGCGCAACGAGCTCAGTTCATCACTCAAAGAGCCAACTAAATTACTCAACGTGTTCATCTCTTTCCGATAATTGTTTTCCATTGCAGCTCGAAATGCTGCGAATAGAGCGAACCAATTCTCTTCCATCTGCTTCTCGCTTTTCCTGGCACGGAGAATCGGTTTCTCGCAGTCGCTACAGAACCAATGAAACGACTCTGTTTTCTGTAGGAAAGAATATTCTGCAGAGCTCAGCTACACGACTCATACATACACGACTCTGTGAAAAATGAACTGTGGTATTACTATCAAAATGGATATATACATAGAAGACTGTTAAAATTTTAACCATTAAATATATGCCATCTTCAGCAGAACACCTACACAACTAATTTACTGTGGACTCCTTATCCATTCAATTAACAATATAGATAAGATCGTTTTATTAACTCTGGTAGTCATTGGTAGACGGTCAGTTGAAAGCATAAGAGGTAGTTTCCATTCTGACCTTATAAATAATCGTTGTTTGATCCTCGACAGGTTGATCGTCGCGTACAGCCACTGGAGTCTCGGCGACATGTTTGTCTACGGGGCGACTGAGTCGCTTGCCACGAACCTCAGGCAGGAAACTGCGCAAATACAACAAATTTTGACATTTCTTTTACAGGGACAATCGTACCACACTCGCAGATGAATACCGGTATATGAATCGAAATGCTCGATATCTTCTACGTAAACGTGAGTAAAAATAATCAATTTCTCTATATTTACACCCTTTCTGTCAATCGCTTTCTAGTTAGCTGACCAGCAACTTGCAGCAGCGTGGTGTGCTAAGTCCACCATATTATACAAGAAAACCGATCTTACCCATGTAATGATGCCACGCTGATACCCTGCGCTGAAGTCTCCTTGTTCACCGCGTCAGTTTTTTCAACAACTCGAGTGGGGATCGGCGTCAGCTTGACGACATAGCGGAGCTCGTCCCTCATTTCCGTGGTGGGCGCGAGACGAATCACACTGCCCCATGACCCAGGAAAAACACAACACTTAGAGCAAAGTGGATGAAAAATTAAAAACCATTAAAAACATGATAATAGCGTCCTAAAGGTATCCAAATTGTTATGAAAATAGACATTGGTGAACACAATACGCAAATGGGGGAGAATTTTAGTTGCAATTTACAGTCACCCTTGTTTCCTTGGCATATCAAGATATTCCCTGTCATCTCGTTGGTCTCAACTACTTGCTTAAGTTTAATTGAAATTAAATTGTCATGTTGTTATAGTCAAGTTCGGCACAAAGTAATTTACTGAATAAATCAAATCTTTCAGGCACAACAGACATAAGCATACAGGACCAGCAACATTTAAAGCAAAATGTGTCCTTGACTTGGAAAATATTTCATCCTTTTGCTCATACTTATTAAACCTGCACCGCGGGACAATGACTCAAGGAATACGACAGTGATACTTGCTTTTAAGCAGGCAGTTCTGCATCTGAACTAACCTTCTCACATTACAAACGGCTCTCCACCTAAAGCAAACCTGAACGGCCACAACTAATTTTATTCGATAGAAGAAGGTGGAAAGTCGGGCTAACGTAAGTGGGTTAGGCCAAATGCAGAATTGCCTCCTTATGACCAAGCATTCTTGAGCGGTGGCTGTGAGCTTATGGCTCTACTGGCTTGACCAGCAACTCACTGATCTCACCTACGCGACCACCCACCTACACACAGACAAATAGTGCAAACCCCACACAGATACTACACCAACATACTAGATACAGTACCCCCAACCCCAAGGCATCACCAGCACAAAAAAAAAACACACACACACAATCATGACACTTAAAGCGCTGGAGCTGGCCGGCAACAACAAAGTCCTCTCCATGTCTGAAATTTTACTTGACACTAAAACCCACCACCTGACATAAGCAGCACAGAAACACAGCTCTCTAGACTGGAGAGAGTACACCCAGCCAGGCTTCGCTGCGGCCACCACCCTTCACTACAAACATACTCAAACAGAATAGGCCAAGCAGACACAGACACCTGCCCATCCTGCCAGAGAGCTCCCCACACAATCACTCACATTCTCTTGGAATGTCCGCTCTGGCAGGACCTCAGACAACACCACCACATAACCTCGACCCTACAGCTCTGGAGCGACCCCCTGTCGGTGGTGTCGTACCTGCGCGAGGGGGTCACTTATAAAAATGAGACCGGGGAACCACAACAACAACAACTCACTGATCTAATTCAAGTGTTTCGTGGTCTGCCGCTTTTATCTCTGAGACTACATGTAATTATAGCATGCCGAGGCTATGCGTTGGCTCTAAGGCCAATTTAAGAGCTTGATTTGTGGCCCGCAGCTGCACCCCCTATCAAATGAAGACAAAAATCATCACGAAGAAAAACAAGAACACACCTATTAGGGCTTGATAAAACCTGCCGTCCCAGGTGAGTGAGAGAGAGGGCGCTGAAGGAGAAGGTCCGACCTCCACCCCAGCCTCTGCCTCTGCCTCCTGATGGCGTGATGAGCTCCTCCACAAGATGTCCACTCAACACCAACTGCTTCCCTGAACACATAAGAAAAAATAAATAGGTAAGCAAACTGCTCCGGCATCATTGGTGTAAAATTATATTTGTTGAACGAATGAGCACAGGTGAAAGTATGTTGAATAAAATTACAAAAAAAATCAATAAATGACATGCGAGAAACAATAAAGGCTATTTTCAAAAAGTGTCCATTGATAAAAAATTTTCAACGATAAGAGGCTAAAATAAATTGACGTTGCATCAAGAGTACTATGTTTCAGTTTTTCAACATTTCAACCCAGAGTCGGAATGAAGAAAACCTCACCAAGCAAAAAAAATATGATAAATCAACAACTAATAATTTCACAGTTTTATTACCTAGGGCCTTCCAAAAGGATTCATTGCGATGTTTTCCTTGTGCGAAGACGGAGAGTTTGCGCCAGTAAGCCTTGACCTTCTGGCTGTTGCTGCCTCGCAGCACGAGCACTACGTTGCCGACAGCGCTCGCATCACCGATACCCTGTCACGAGGACGTCTCCATATTAAAATACTTTCCAAAATTTGAACCCGAATAATTAGAAAAGAAATTTCATCACAAATTTCAAAAATCCATTTTAGTAATTTTTGGGGGTGTCACATCAGAACGCTAAAGCATATTCCAATGTTTGTACAACGTGAAGCTTATTAACCATACAATAATAAATCATGTTAATTCAGTATTTTAAGTACACACCTGTAATGCCTTCATGAAAAGCAAGGCGTCATTCGTGAAGTCGTAGCAGCCTGACTCGTCCATAGACGATTCAACGCGGGATACAAATGCCCCTTTAAGCTTTTTTTGCTCTCTAGAAATACACGCGCATGCATTATACTATTATTTACACATGCGAAGTAAAATAATACAATGTATTGCAAAGAAACATGCAAGCGATCTCAGACATCAAAAAAAAAATAGAATAAGTAACGATATTCTGAGATAACAACCGTCATTAAAATGTAATAAGTAACGATATTCTGAGATAATAACCGGCATTAAAATAGAATAAGTGACGATATTCATAGATAACAACCGTCATTAAAATGTAATAAGTGACGATATTCATAGATAACAACCGTCATTACATGACGCTGTCTCAAGATTCAAAGCCCAGTGAGGTCACAACACGACTTATCCTCACCTCCTGGTGCAGTTATCACAGCAGCGTGCCTGCTGCTCCACGACGCAATTGGCATCGAAGTGGCGCAGCAACAAAGCTCTCCTGCATTCGCTGCCAGCGCTCAGCAGCTGCTCCAGCTTGCGCTGCATCTCAGCTCGGTGGTCGCGGTGCGGTCCTTCTCTCAGCTGACCTAAAAAATATCTGAAATAGAATTTTGAAATGTGACTTCAGATAAAATATCCAGCCTTTAACATATGCATATTAACTTGAATTATTTATATATTAGTCAAATTGATCAACGTAACTATATCATCTATTACTACAGCATTTAAAATTATTAATTTGGAGACCATCCTTGACATAATTCTTGCAATAAGTGTAGCAGAGTTACTGCAATGCACTGACAACGACTAAGGAGGTCTCTAACAACTTATTAGTTATCAAATGGTTATAAGGAGCTTCACTTGTTCAGAAGGAAGTCCTTGGAAGAGTAGAAGACCGTGCAGACGCTAGGCATTCCGTCCCTGCCAGCGCGGCCGATCTCCTGGTAGTAGCTCTCCAGGTCGCGCGGCGCTCCGTAGTGCACCACGCGCCTCACGTCCGGCTTGTCAATCCCCATACCAAAGGCCACAGTGGCAGCAATCACGCCCACCTCGAGTTACACATTCACGTACAATAATGTACATTCAGGCACATATATTAGTGTGTATTGACCATGCAGTGCACAGATTCATTTACGAAGCATGTATCTAACAACAAGTTTTATACATATCTTGGCTGGCTATACAAGTTCAGGTTTTGCACATCTATGTACAAAGACCATTCCCGAATGTAGCTTTAAATAACCATTTCAACCATCTGAACTCTCCTCAGGATGGAAAAAATGTACCTAAAAAGGGATAGTTATTAATTCAATGTATAATGAAAAATATTTATGGTTGCACTCACTTTGTCCTTCACAAAATCTTCATGAGCTTTCTTGCGCTGCTTAGGCCCTAGCCCAGCATGGTACACACTGCACTCCACACCCGCACCTTTAGCACAACATTTCATTCAGGTAAATTTCCCAGCTATGTAAATAAATAAATGTTGATTTATACTCATCAGAGCATTTAAACCCAGAAATTATTGGGTTAGACGATAAATACCAAACGCCTGCCGGCAAAGAGTAGCAGCTCGTGCGTTTCTTTGATACCAATTCATGAATAAACTGAGGCGAAATAAATCATGATAAATTACTTCTGAGTGCAGCAGCGGTGTCTTCAGAAGATTTTTTAGTTGGACAATAGACAATCGTGGGACCCTCTATGCCCAGGTCACGGAGCACCAGCGTGATATCCTCAGCAGCTCCAGATCCTTTAGGTTTCACCTCCAAGTATAAGTTCGGTCGATTAAAACTTGTCACGGTCACAACGGCGTTTTTACTGTTACAAAAAATAAATTGTTAGTTGCTTCTAGTATTGTTTTGATAAGCAACATGAGAAAATTCACTTGACACTCAGCTGAGGAAATTGCGATTTTTTTAAATTTAGCATACATACTGACAAATTTTGTAGTGTAAAGTCTAAATCATTTAAAATTGGAAATACATATGAAGAACATGTTGATTTATTTGAAATCAGTTGAAATAATTAGCAGAAGGAAGACACTTAGTGGACATTGAGGAAATGTATTTACTGATTGATATAGCTCACTTGTATAGTAATAAACAAGTGAGTAACCATTAAAATGACGTTCTAAACTCTCATTAGATTTTCTAAAAGGTGAATATGATCTATGAATATAAAGAATATGAACTCGCAGCACCTGAGTTTAAGAGATCTAGCAATGTCTTGGATGACAGGTGCCGTAGCTGTGGCTGTCAGACTAATGATGGGCACGGAAGGAAACTGGTCCCGAAGCACTCCAAGCTTCCTGTAATCCAAGAGAAGTCAATGATTCAATGAAATGTCCAATGCTATATAGCTGGAAAATTATTCCAGAATTGATTACAATACATTAAGCTCTTTTTCAAATCAAACCTCAAAACATTGCATTCAAAGAAAACAAAATGCATATTGTAAGATATACCATTATTCACCAATAATCAAAGCTAGAATAAAAAAGAAAAGATGAGCCCATATAAATTGAACATATTTCCACAGGAAATGTTGTAGAGTCCAGCTTCTTTTCCAGTTTGAAATTACTTGAATACACCTAAGTATACTTACTCAATTACTAAGACCCTTCATTTTAGGACTGAGTGATTATTAAAAATAAAATGAAAAATACCAGAAGAAGTAACATGTAATAAGCAAAAGGAAATAACACCATTCATGTATAATTTCAGTCAATGCAAACTAAAGGCTAAATTCCAACTTGGATTCTGTTACAGCTAAATGAGGTGGCTGGGTGTGCGCAAATGCACTGTAGTGTGCCTTCTACTTCTTAAATACATGACATAACTTCTCTGAATTGCTTTTGTGTAAACATGCCAATGTGGTGTTGAGTTAACACAGATGCCACACGGTATGTAATAAGACAATTTTTGCCCTGTGCAATTTTTGAAGAGACACTAAAAGGCATAAATGCAATTGATGCCTCCTAGTCTTGCAAAAGGCATCTTCATTGGCAAAGTAACAAAAGTTATTGTCAGAAGCATGAGATATTTAGCTTGATGTGGTCTGCATTAGAATGCTGGTGACCTTTTTTGTAAGATAATTAAATAAAATTGAAATCAAAATTGGCTCAGGCCTAGCTCTCAGTAACCTGTATGCAGTCCTGAAGTCATGTCCCCATTGACTGACACAGTGGGCTTCATCCACAGCAAATAGAGTAATGCCATTGCCACCAGCATGTAAGTCTTGCAAAGCTCCAAGTCCACCTGAGAAAATTACCAATTAATAGAAATAGGGATAAGCTTTATTACCAGGAGCAATTTTAATGTACTTTTTTTGCCAAGAAGTTTTTCCGACAACATGCAACTTACCAACCTGAACAAATGTTGTAAAAATAGATGCTACTTCTAAGGAGAATTGAAAAACATAGAAATAATTAGTTTAATGAAATTTTTGTAATTAATTTATTATTACTTTATTTAACATTGATAATCACAAAAACAAAAACCTAAGGGACTAGCTTGTGATATGATCTTTTTCTGAAGCTCTCTCTTCAATTGTCAGTCCTACCTCCACCAACAAACTCTGGAGTTACATAAACAACTCTGAAGGAATTGCAGCGAAGCTGAGAGTATACTGTGCGGTCAAGCTGTCCACTGCCCAGAAAGCAAGCTGGGATGTTGGCAGCCTAGAAAAAAAGTAATAATTTACATAATTTAATTTTACAGAATATTCTGATCAATGCGATCCTTTTCTTCTTCAAATTTGGTTAGCAGCAAAGCTTATATATATAGGTAATTTCATCAATTGAAGCAATTGGCAGGATGTATCAATTGTGAAAATCCTTAAGAAACTAGCAAAAGCTTTTGATAGATGGAATACATTTCTCAAAATAGCAATTAAAATAAAATATAACAAGGAACAAACAACAGAAAACATTGATTCAATTACTTGCAATCCAAGGACTTGATCTTGCATGAGAGAGATGAGAGGTGAAACCACCACACAAACACCCTTTCTGAACACTGCAGGGAACTGGTAACACAGAGACTTGCCATAGCCTGTTGCCATGACCACGTTGTTGTCCATGCCCTGACAATTGGTATAAATACATCGAAAATGTGAACAAATGAAGCAAAATACCTATCAATATATAGAAATAATCTCATAGAGAATTTGAAATAGAGTTTGAGAATAAAGTTTAAACAATTATACCTTCAAAACTGTGCTGATAATCCTCCACTGCATTGGCCTGAATGAAGTGTGCCCAAAAACTTCATTCAGTACACGAAGATGCTCGGTACTTGGCTCACTTTCCTCCCATGTTGAACACTGAGAACTCATTTTGTCGCACACTCTTTCCTCAGCTCCCTGCTTAGAGGTGAAATTAACATCTGATTAATACAACCTATTACTGATAAACAACCAATTGCCTAGTTATGATGTGTGTGTAGTCAATAGGCATCATTGTTGTATTTATAAATTACTGAAACAATTTGTTACAAAGAACATTTTAGAATCAGGAATGACACTGATGAAGGTCAAGGGCAATTCTCCTATTGAATTTCAACTCTTTAGCGGGCAAGCATTAAAATATTCAGAAATTAAAATTTCAGAAACTAGTTCAAGAAAGTAAGAAGTATTATACAAAATATTTATTACTATGCATTTTTCAAATTCTCCATATTGGAGGTTTAAATTTCAGTTGAAGAATTTATTAATGTGGTCACTACCTGGTACATGTTAAAATATTTTCTTTAGAATGAAAAAGTTTATGCACATGAAAAATTAATAATGTAAAAATTTAATCTAGTTCAATTCAGTCAAGTTACCTTGAATAATTAAATATATATCAATACTTCCACCTTTTAAAAAATGCAGTAAGCGCATCAATTTCATTGTCCAAGTCAAAACTTTCATTTAAATGCTTATATTTAAATGTTTAGGCATGGCAGGTGTGATGTTATGATAGAATGTTGGGCAGATGATTGACTGAGGCTTTATAAGGACACCTCAAAAAAAAAAAAAACAGGAAGCTGTGGTGGATCTCTTTGTGAGGTGATTTCAAATGACCATATATGGTAACTTGCCCATGAAAGGGTTAAACAAAGAAGATGATTGAGCTGTTTTTTATTCTACTTATAACTTCAATCCTACCAAACAATTAGGATACATAGTTTTTTTTTCCTACAGCTCAACTTACAAAAGAATTATTGCCTTGAAATAAGCTCAACTACAAGGTTATTCTAAATGATAGACATAATTTAATAAGTTAGCATTCATATACCGTACATTAGCATAAATTCAAAGTGAATAATTCACACACCAATGGAAAGAAAAAGATTTTTTTTTCAACTTAGCTTAGTTGGGTACCTACTTTTTGAAACCTGACACTCACTTCCTAGTGTGAGGTAGAATGCATAGGAAATTGAGATCTTTCTCTACACTTCTGGCCACCAAAATCTCCCAATCTCACCCCATGTGACCATTTCTTATAGGGTTATGCCAAGGAAGCTGCTTACATCCCGGCTCTGGATGGTCTGAAGAACCGCATCACTGCTACACGCTACACTCAGTAATAGAAGATATGCTTTCTTGTGTGTGGGACAAGTTTGGCTACAGTTAAGATGATTGCCGTGCACACAAGGGGACATGCTGAATATTCATAAATGTGTAAAAAACTTGAATTTTTTTCATTTGTGTATGAATTATTCATTTTTATTTTATACTTAAATAAATACTAACTTATTAAATTGAGTTCATCATTTAAAGTATGTTAGCCTTGTATAAATGCAAATCTTTGCTCAAGCACCACAAAATTTTCAGTTCTAAGTTCAACTGTGATTAATCCATATTTTGATAGCAATAGGTATGTACTATACATAGACTGATGACATGGCTGTGTCTGTGAGGCAACCAAAAGACTTGATTCAACTTGGCAATAGTTGTCATGGCCAGATTTTACTGCCATCCAAACAACAGCTTAATGCAGGCAAAGCAAATTTTAGAATTTTGTTTTTACAAGGAAGTAACCAAAATAGTATGAATCCAATCAGTCAAAATATAAGTGTTCAAATACCACAATAAGGTTGCAGTTAAGGGGACTGCCCTAGCATATGAAAACTTCTACAGTTATTATCCGATTGTCATGAAACTTCACATACATACGTAAAATGTAAAAAAAAAAACATTTTGCTCCTATGAATTTTTCGATTAAGGGACCTAAAACCCGCCTCCCTTTGAGGAGCTGTCACAAAGTCATTTTTCAACGTACAGGGACGATACTTATAGCGTTCGATGCGCAAGAAAACAACCTTCAAGATGAGATAAGAAACAGAAAAACTCAAAATTTTCAAATTTTAGCTAGGGCAGTCCCCTTAAAGAACATTTTGAAAATAGAAGCCTGAAAATTCTATCAAGAAATTTCAATTCAAGATATTGAAAGTTTGGGACATACAAGCTCCTACAGGAGATAATTCATGATACCGTTGAGATCAATCACATGTTATGAGTTGAATTGTGATTTGCCACACTGCACCTGCAGAGTTAAACTTTTTATGGTAAAAAAATAACCCAAAAGCATCTAGCTGTATAAATCTGTAGCCTTTCATATGGGTAATTTTAGTTTATATTTGCCCAAGGGGACAAATATATTGGCCTTAATTTAATTTACTCTAGTGGCCTTTTGTTTGAATTTTTTTTTATATTTTTGTCACCAGTCAGATTTCTTCAATGAATAAATTTCAGCAATTTGGTATGGATGCAATTTAGTATTTTGCGCTTGCACGATAGCTGGTAGCCTGGAGCAAAAAGGTTGAAGTTGTAAACTGCAAAAATTCTATTTTTAATGAACTCAAGACCCCAGTAAGCCTTTTTCTTATTGTCAATTATTCATGGATTGAATAAATTTTCATTAGATATGGTCATATTAGTCATTTAATTGCAAAATATTTATTCATTTTACTTACTTGTGCAGAATGCATCCCAGCTTCACATAATTGTTCCTCTATGGCAGCAATATCTTCTTCATTTTCCAGCCATAAATCATCTTCCCAATCTTCCATAATGCCAATTGCCAATTAATAATGGTCTAAATAAATTCTACAAGCCAAATTTTGGTGAATAAAGAAAAAGCTAAGTACAAAAAAAAATGTTACACTTGAGACTGCAATGAGACATCCATATAAGACATTTATATAATAAAGAAAAGAAATAATTACCGTAGCTAATAATTTATAATCAAACATCCAGAACTTAGCTACTGAGTAGTGAGTACTGGTGCACTGCCAGCAGGGTTGGCAATTTTTTTATATTTGTTAATAAAATAAGAAATAAACTATTTTTTCATGATTTTTTTATTTATTTGGCTTTTTATTTTTTCAGCTTTATTGTCTTTTTGAACTGTAATTTTTATGTTGCAATTAGCCTTCTAACAATAACAGTATATAGATAGCTAAAAAGGGCAGTTATTGCTTTCAAGAATGGCCAAGGTTGTGTTTACCACTTTGGGACTTTTGGGTAAACAATTATTGATACCGTCAACCGGGGCTACTCGGGACGGGCAGGGTAACAATACCAACGGCGAGAAGCAAGCAACAGCATCGTGCATCAGGTGGCCCAAATGAGGGCAGATGAACGATAATCAGAGGCGGCGATCCATCGTGGCCTGGGACTGCTATGTCCCAAACAAATACTAAGGATACTAAGGTAACTCAGGACAGTCCTCTGACACGGCGTAAAACTGTTTTAGTAGCACTAATTGGAATATTGCAAAACTATATATAGTGGCGTAAACGTCAACATTTTTCCTATCTGTGTAGTATAAAGGAAGTTAAAAAATACTACATATACTAACTTTGAAAAATTCCTGATTAAAATGGTGAAAAATGATATTTTGAAAAGTTACTTCTGCTAAGGTCTGTAGTTAAAAAAATATTTGGTGTTCAAAAAATTTTGCTTAGAGAAAAGTGGCAGACAAGTGTCAGCATGAAAACTTTATTCGCAAACTTTACATACCTCAATCCAAAAAAAATGGCACCATTTCCGCACAGCGGGGCTACTCAGGACAACCAACCCCCCGGGGCTATTTGGGACACCCCTAAAAATGCATTTACGGTAGAATTTCAGTTAGCAAAGGCTCCAGTTACTAAAAAAAGTGATCAAAAACAAAGAATATTGATTACATTTACTTCGGTCAGTGAAAAAATTTCACTTATCGAAAAATTAGTGCATCATCGGTCATCAAAAATTGTACATAGAATGTCATATATAGAATTGTGCATCAGGCATTGTAGAATGAAAAGTAATTGACCTAAACTATGATTTATTTCTCCAAAACATATGATGGTTGTCACTAAAACGTTCCTTTTTGTTTCTGGTATGTTTTTCACGATATTTTTTATAGTAAATTCACTAAACGCAAATAAAATGGTGGGAAATTACAAGCTGTCCTGTAAGCTTACAGATACAGAAAAAATGCTATAGGGCTGCTGATATGAAGCTTGCAGTGGACAAGGTTGTTGTAAATGCTCAATGGCATGTTCATTGATACGGTAATATTGCATCAATAATATGGTAATATCGCATCAATAATACGGTACTAATTAATGTATATGGTAATATATCAATAAAGGAAAAACAAGTAAAAATCACAGAAAATGTAATTTATTCTACCTCTACATCATCTACAATGAAAGAGGAGGACTTCAGAGTACTGTTTGTAATGGATGAGTACACTCTGCATGCTTCAAATGTTTTAAAATTAAGTTTTATTTCAAGTGTCCCGAGTAGCCCCGTCAAACAGGGCTACTCGGGACACTCTTTTTTTGCTTCTGGCACCTCACAAATAGCATATGGAATTTTTTTGGAGAAGCCATGTGATAGCCCTTGCAAAGAGCTTTGAAATGAGCCTAAACTTGTTCACAAAATGTTTCATGGCAAGAAGTTATGAATGAAAAACATTCAAAATCGTCCCAAGTAGCCCTAATTGACGGTAAGTCTATTCATTAGCTTTGTAAAGTTTGTATAGAGCAAGGTAACAAGCTAAATATTGACCATTTAACTAGCTTCAATATACAACAACACTCCAGGAATGCAGATCTTCTAAACATTGAAGAGTCACATAACAGATAGGTAGCTGTTAGCACAGTGCACAACACTATCAATAGATCTATTAGTTTCAAGTCCTATAAATCTACCAGACAACTTAAGTAAAAGTGGCTGGTTTGATGCTGACACATTTTATGATTGGTTTAAGACTCTTCTGTTGCCATTTTGCAAGAATTTGCAAGGTCACAAAGTGGTAATTGGAGATTCCACTCACATGCATCAGGACGTGTTTGATCTTTGCAATGCAAACAAGATAAGCTTCATCTTCCTGCCGGCCAACACAATACATCTTCTGCATCCACTGGATGTTGTTTTCTATGAGCCATAGAAAAGGAAATTACGCAAGACCCTTGTACATTGGAAGAAAACTTTTGGCAGGAACCTTGCAACGCTACCGAAAGACTGGTTCCCGCGCTTCCTTTCAGACCTCTTAAAATTGATCAACAATGAAGTCCTTCACAATATGAGCATAAGATTTCAAGCAACAGGATTGTGTCCAGTTGACAGGGAGCGAGTCCTAAAGAAACTTTGCAGAGCCCATGCAAGAAGATATGGAAAATGCAAGGGAGTTGGTCTCCCATACCTTGATGCATAAACTCCAAGAAATCTGCTCACCACCCACTGAAGCCAATAATGCACCTAAACGAAGGAAGTCCATCAAGCTAACTCTTGGGAAGTTGCACACAGGGCCAAGGGCCAGCACTTTAGGTTTAGTAACAACACCAATGTTGCAGGACTTGGCATATGTGAAGAAAGTGTTACAGTTTAATGAATATGCAAATGAAGAGGATGATGACTTTGAATCAATAGATGAAAGTGAACTTGCTAGTGCCCAAAAGTTCATTGATCATGAAGTTGAGATGCAGGAACCTGATGAGGACATCTCTAACATCACCTTCAATGATGATTTTATCCTTGTAAGGTTAAACATAGAGGGAAGTGTACAACGTGAGAAATTTTATGTTACTCGCGTCAGAGAACAGCCACAAACATATGACTGCGATGTCAAGGTTCAATTCTTAAAGAAGAGCACTGACTCGAAAAGGCTGTCATTTGTCTACCCTGTTCAGCATGACATGGCTGCTTTCAGACAATAGAACATCATGCTTAACACGTTGGCCACTGTAACTGGGGGTAATCTTAGGGCAAACCAAGCTCATGTGTTTCAGCTCAAAATTATATAATTTTCTATTTCAATCATTTATTGTTTTACTTATTACAAACATGGTTATTATTTGTCGTCTTTCATGCTTATCATGCAAACCAATATTATTTCATTCATTTGTGTCTAATGTCGCCCTATGTTTTTATGTCTCGTTTCAGGTATTGAACGGCCCCATAAACCTAAATTAATGCATGCCAAATAAACTTGTGTCGAGTTAGCAGAAAATCCTGAAACTCGCACCGCCATCACCAGTTGGTGAGTTGGCTTAGTCTTTGCGTGTGATTCAATTATGTACATATTTTAGGCCGATTGTTTTATGCATTTTGGTTCTTATTCATTATATTGTCATTTATTGATACAATGGTTCTTTCCATATCTGTCAGCTTGAATAATTTTTAGTCTGATGCTTGTGCTTGCAATAATTACTTTGTTTTCTTAAATCATTTTTGCACTTGAAAGATCTGCACTTGCATTTGCTCTTCACTGTTTCAACTCTATAAAATATATTCCTTAATTCACTATCCTATTTTGTTGTTCATGTTTAAAGTCAAATTAACTCTGATAAATCTCACATGGCAACTAAATTATTTCTCTTATTGCATGTATATTTATGTTTATTTGTTTGTTTCAGTTGCTGTGTGTATTGCTCCACCCATTGTTTCATATTCTATAGTTTCATAGTTCTATAGTCCTAAATATCTTGTTTATTGATCCAATTCTAAGGATGAGTTTGGCAAACTATTTCTTATTGTATAAAATTTCAACATATTGGCTTTTTTTAATAAATGAAAATAAACACTCAAAAGCAAATCCCGAAGTAATTCATTAATTCCTGTTTTCTGTGACAAGCACTATAAGAGTAATTTTCAGTAAGTGAACAACGAGTTTGTTACACCCGCTAGTGCGCCCGGTTACACTGCGATTGCTGATTTGGCCCGAATGCCGTACGGGCAATAGGTTCAAACTTGTATATCTTTATTTACCCGGCAGATAGCAAGGAGAAAAGTTGTGTGCAGCTCTGCAGGGGTATGTTCTGTCATTGTGTCACGTAAAATTGGTGACCGTATTTGGTGCACGTTGCTCAGGGTTGAAATTCATCATTATTCCTGGCGATGTGTACCAAATGAAGCCATGCCTGTTGTGGCTCATATTGTCTCATGCCGCCTATCCTAATCACTTCTAATACTATGGGCGATGTGTACCAAGCAAAGACATGCATCTATGGCTCATATTGCCAAAAAACGCCTTAAGTTATCACTTTTATTACTGTGAGTGATACGCGCAAGTAACCTACATTAGTTTTGGGTCATAATTGCACACATAATGACTACTGGTATCTCTTAGCTTCTTGTGAACGGTGTATATTATGCATGGAAATTACTATGGAAAGAGGTTGGTGTCCAGTAATTTTAAATAAAATTGAGGGTATTTACATTGTTAGTTCAGTTATATTTACCTTATAGAGATCATTCATCGTATATATTGTCTTGAGCTTCTGTTACAAGCAGCATCTCAGAGAGAGTAAAATCAGGATATAGATATCAAATTATCGAGTGGGAAAGTCAGGACAGCCCACTTTCATTGAACCAACTAGAACTAAAACCAGGATGCGCTGCCATGAATGCTACAACATGCTCTCAGCAAATGAGGGAATTGCCGTAGCAAAGGTGAAACTCAAAGGGTAAAAAAATATTTTGATGACTGTGAAGGAAAACCATACATGTGCGATAATTGTTTTTCAATCACGTAATGCAAGATAATGATGTTGGCAACACCTAATGTTATAGTTTCAGATCAATAAAAATATATTTTATTTTGTTTTCATGCTGTTGGGGGTCAGCCCCTCTAAAGGTCAATGGTCCGGCGGGTATAGTACCAGCACATGAAGCCAA